TCTAATCATTCAAATATTCGACATCATGTCGATACCTCGAATCACAAAGGAACTACATTGGAAATTGTTAGAGTATTTTTTTATTGTACCAATTTGAATGTATCGTAATTGTGGTAGATTCTTCAATTCAAAGTCTCCAGCAAAATCACTGAAACTATATTCACCAATTTGAATGGATTCCAACGATTCACAATTCAATATGTGGAATGATTTCGATTTGTCATTACCAATACCAATCTTTTTCTGAGTAAATGAGTTCTTGCCGATTTTGATAGTTTTCAATTGATTCAGTCCATCGATTTTGAACGTTTTCACTGATCCAAAACAATCATCGCCGATATTGATATAAAAAAGAGAAATAAATCGTGAGAGATCAAGATATATAAAATTTGATTCATTACAGGTCCAATTTGGAATAGCAAGTTGTGCAATGGCTGGATCGATACTAGATATAGTACGACCATGATACACAAAAAATGAAAGTGTCAGTGAAATATCTATATAATATATAGTGCATAATATAAATACTGGATACTGACTTAATTTGAGGATCTTTATGTAAAAATGAAGGTAGATTAACATTAGATAATTTTAAAATGTCTAAATACTCTCAATTTTCATTATTCATGAATACATTCTAATGTTACTGTACGCGGGCATAAGAAACTTCCTTGTCCAGAATGGATGGATGTCAGATTTGGAAGATCTACAAAACAAATCATAACCAATCATTTCGTTTTTACTTCGCATTATCAACGAACATAAAGAATCATCTCTTCCTTGAAGTGCTTCATAACCGAGTTGAATGGATTGTAGTGATGGAAGATCTAAATCAATCATGTTATTTGAATTCATTCAATACTTTCCATTATTGTTGATAGGGATTCACGGAATGCACCATCACCTAATGTAATGGATTGTAGATTTGGAAGATCTAATCATTCAAATATTCGACATCATGTCGATACCTCGAATCACAAAGGAACTATGATGGAAATTGCATGATTTTCTTCCAGTTGTACCAATTTGAATGTATTGTAATTGTGGTAGATTCTTCAATTCAAAGTCGCCAGCAAAATCACTGAAACTATATTCACCAATTTGAATGGATTCCAATGATTCACAATTCAATATGTGGAATGATTTCGATTTATCATTACCATAATCATTCTTTTTCTGAGTAAAAGAATTGTTTCCGATTTTGATAGTTTTCAATCGATTCAATCCATCGATTTTGAATGTTTTCACTGATCCAAAACAATCATTGCCGATTTCGATTGATACTACAAGATTAAATCGTGAGAAATCAAGATCAGTGAAATATGCATCATTACATGCCCAGCGAGGAACTCTAATCGTAATCGAACTTAAAGGAATCGAGTTGAAATAGTCAATTGAATTTACTTGAGGAAATGGCAAGTGAGGAACATCTGCATTATTATGTTAAAGATATAATAGAACTAATTGCAATTGGATTCACAGCATATTTTAAAGATTCAAACAATTTCTCATTTTTTAGTTTTGGAATGTCTACATATAAGAGAAGAATATACATGAACTTTCTAATCTTACAGCCCTCTGAAACACAAAATTAGCTCCATAAGAATCGATGGATGTCAGATTTGGAAGATCTACAAAGCAAATCATTTACAATTTATTCATTATTACTTCGCATTATCAACGAACATGAAGTATCATTCCTTCTTCCTTGAAGTGCACCATCACCGAGTTGAATGGATTGTAATGATGGAAGATCTAAATCAATCATGTTATTTGAATTCATTCAATACTTTCCATTATTGTTGATAGGGATTCACGGAATGCAGCATTACCTAATGTAATGGATTGTAGATTTGGAAGATCTAATCATTCAAATATTCGACATCATGTCGATACCTCGAATCACAAAGGAACTACATTGGAAATTGTTAGAGTATTTTTTTATTGTACCAATACTGATAGATTGCAAAGATAACAAATTCTTCAATTCAAAGTCTCCAGCAAAATCACTGAAACTACATTCACCAATTTGAATGGATTCCAAATGCCCACAATTCAATATGCGGAATGATTTCGATTTGTTATCTTTTCTTTTATATCTATTTTTCTGAGTAAATGAATTGTTGCCGATTTTTAAAGTCTTTAATCCAATTAGTCCCCTGACTTCTAATTCTTTGACCGATCCAAAACAATTATCAGGAATAACGACCGATTTTACGTATTTAGGAAATGATAGTTGTTTGCAGTTATTAAAATCACATTCTTTCTGAAACCTTAGATTCGGTTTATATAGATAATTTGCCATTTTATAGCCAAAGGGAGTTCGTACTTCACAGTTTATCCAAATAATGTATGACACGATTCCTGTTACTAAAACAAAGACAGCAACAATTCCAGCCCAAATATGTAAATAGAATAAACCTATCATCAAACACAAAATAAGCAAGACACTTAATACTATATGTATTAGTATTACACAGATGTATTGCGATAACGTTTTACCATGAATCCATACTCCATCATTATTCTTCTTTCGATCTTTATAAGAAATACCTTTGCCATGTCGCTTGCCATTTTCAAATAATCCTTGATAAATTACCGTTTTCCCATCTTTGTCGTATTCTTTTCCAACACCATTACGCGAATAATTGTTTGTCAGACAATCGAGAAATTCTCCTTCATATTGTTTCACGCCATTTTTGTATTCGGTCATTTGATTTCCATTAAACAATTTAATTAGAGCGATTTCTTTACCCTCCTTCCATTTACTAATGCGACTAATTGTACCATTATTTATGTAACGATAACAAATACCGTTTAATCTATTATTCTCGTCTCTTTTACATACATAAATTAACTGATCTTCTTCATCATATTCCTTTTGATAGCCTTTCTTATCGTTCATTTTTTCTATTCTCAATTTCTTCCCATTATCGTAGTATCCTTCAAACCAGACTTTGTTAGGTTCATCATAGAGTTCTAAATATCCACTATATTCTATCTCAGTACCATCATTAACTTCTACAATATGACTTATTTCTCCATTTCTATAGTAATAGCAAATCCCGTCCTTTTCACCAGTTTCTCTATTGATTTGGCTTATGTTCAGTAATGTACCATTATCGTCATATTCTTTCCAATACCCATCCATTTCATCTAATCGAACTAAATTCGAGAAGCGTTTACCATTTTTGAAGCAGCCATCAAATATTACGTTTCCTGACTTATCAAACTCTTTTCCTATCCCCGAACGAAATCCATTACAAAAGTATCCTTCAAAGAATAAATTTCCAGAAGAATCATACAAGGTACAAGATCCATTTGCTACTCCAGCTTCGAAATACAATTCTGCTATTAGTATATTGTCTCTAGAATATAGGAATGATTTTCCATATATTCTATTGTCCTTGATCTGAGTTTCGATTGTATAGCCTTCATGTGGACACCCTACATTTAATATTGCTGTTCCATCTTGTTGGTTAATCGATACTATAGGAAATTGGCTCGAAAAGTCCGCTTCCCAGCAATTGTTCTGGTTAGTATAAATGGATGGGTTTGTCACAACACGAGATAACTCTACTCCATTCGAATAATACTTTGGCTTTTGAATATTGGACATAACTATAATAATCTGAAGCAAAAGACCAAGTTCTTCTCAGTAAACTGAGTCTGTCTGTTTTGAAAATATAGAGATAATTATGATTGTCATCATATATACTAAATGACGATGTGAAATGTTTGTGAAAAAACATATTGAGATTAAACATCAACATATACTCATCGTAGCGAGAATGTATGTATTTTCCAAATCAAAAACGACAAAGAAAGTGATCATTGCAGATACAGGTAATTATCCACTCTTAACATCCGTAATTATCTATTACTACAATACAATACAATACCTCTCTTTGTATCACGCAATCTAAATAATAATAATAGAAAATAGATTTGAGAAAACAAAAATGCAAGCGGTGGGACTCGAACCCACGCGTGCGAACACACTACGACCTGAACGTAGCACCTTGGACCACTCGGTCACGCTTGCTTCTGTTTGACTCCTTTCAATAGCCTATTTCTTATCACCATAATTCTTACCCACTATTCAAAATGCGTCTACTATTTACTATACGCATAATACTTATTGAGCCGAAACAAAACAAAAAAGAAAAATGCAAGCGGTGGGACTCGAACCCACGCGTGCGAACACACTACGACCTGAACGTAGCACCTTGGACCACTCGGTCACGCTTGCTTCTGAACGACCTTTCAGCAAAACCTATATCTATATTTTATACCCATGTTAATCAAACCATCATCCATTTTTTTCGATAGTGATAGTCATGTACTTGATTAGTTACAATATTGGTAGTATTTTTCCATATATTCCAAGTTGTTTTATGACTATAGCATACGAATCGCTGTAATCTCGACTGAATTCAAAAATTATGTGGTGTGGTAATGTCTATATGAATTGTTGTGATGTCCTTGTTACCTTTCTTTGTTCTGTAAGCAGATACTTTCTATTTTTATTATTATTTCTTTCTTCTCAGTAATCTATGTCGATTCAATACAAAATAGCTACACTTTTTACTCTTCTTTTCTTTTTTGTATATGTTCCTTGGATATCATCTAGAAAACATTTTATTACAGTCGATAGTGCATTTGTACTCTATTCTCTTGTGTAACGTTTGATCCACTTTATACCTTTCTATTCAATGCATTCCATTGATAACGGTTTGTATGATATGCTTTGTCACATCAGATAACCAATTCCTTCTCATAAAGTGTATTCATTTGTTAGTTCTTTCTCATACCAATACTATTTTCTGTAGCTAGTATAATAATAATAATAATAATAATAATGCTTCTTTTCATTGTGTATTCCTTGAATCCATCAAAGTACAATCCATTGAAGTATTCCTAAAATTGGATTGTTTTTCGTTTGGAATATTTTCGAAGCTTTTGGGTATCTTATCATTATAAGATTCATTCAAAGGGAAATGCTTGACGAAAGTATTGTAAATATTATCAGAGAGAACCAGAATAGTCTGGAAACGATCTTGGGGGTATTACTGAATTATACTGCTTGATTCTAGATTCTGAAGAGCGATCTTCGCTATATTAATTGCCCGGAGCTTGCTTCTTTTAAGGAGTTTTTGCTTCAGATGGGTGCTTCTCTAGATATCCCCGATGATATCGATCGTTTGGCCTTACTCTACCTTCTAATTGTTAGAGATGCAAGAAGAACCCAAGGAGGAGGAGGAGCCTCTCCCCCAGTTTGATTCTGAGCCTTATCCTGAGATCCCTGAAGCCAAAGAGGTAGCAGTTATTATCGTTTCTGATCTTTAGTACTCCGACGAATTGATGGACGCTGCTCAAGCTGCCAAGGGAAAGGCTGCAGAAGCTGCCGAGCGTGGCGACTACTCTTCCGCTATCGACTTCCTAACGGAGTCCCTGCGTAACCAATTCTCCAACCTGACGCTGTGTCGTCGAGCGGAGTACTTACTGAAACTGGATCCTCCTCGTCCCAATGCCTGCATCCACGACTGCTCTTTCGCTCTCAACAACAACCCGGACTCGGCCAAGGCTCTCAAGATCCGTGGTCGTGCCTACGCGTAGTTCAATGCGAACTCGCTTGATTGCTAGGCTGCTTCAGAAATGGTTGGAAGCGGCCGCTGATCTTCGTCGCGCTTGCTCCATCGATTTCGATGAGGAAACGGACCGTCTTCGCAAGGAAGTGGACGAGAAGGCGCACGAGATCGAGAACCGAATCCGTGCTGCGGAGATCGCGAAGCAGCAGGAGGAGGAGCGCGCGAAGGAGGAGCGCGCGAAGGCGTATCGCGATCGTGTGATGAGGTGAGCGTGCGAAGAAGCGATTAGGCGTAGAGAGAAGGAAATGAGAGCCAAGGAGGAAGAGGAGGAGCGTCAGCGAGCCCAGAACGCTGCCTATGAGGGAATGCCTGGTGGTATGCCTGGTGGCATGCCCGGAGGAATGCCTGGTGGCATGCCCGGAGGAATGCCCGGTGGTATGCCTGCTGGAATGAGCGAACTGTTCAGCGATCCGGAGATCGTGGCTGCGATGCAGAACCCGAAGATGGTGGCGATTATGCAGGACATTATGAGCAACCCGCAGAATGTGTCCAAGTACATGAGTGATCCTGAGTTTATGGCTCTCTATTCAAAACTAATGGCGAAGATGGGTCAGGGAAATGTACATTGTCGTGTTTGTTGAAATCCTGTTTTTCTCTTTGAACTTGATTCTCGAAGTTTTCTTCGAAAGTAGCATAAAATGTCTATTTCGAATACTGATTTGAAGCTCCATCGCGCGAGAATGCTCTTTATCAAGGGCGATGTCGATAACGCTATTAACATGTACCATCTCTTCATTACCATTGTTGGTTAGATACAAGGAAGTGATAGGGAGCTTCTTCACGTATGCACAGCAAGATCCAGAGCATTCCCAATATTACGTTCAATATGGGAACATGTTACTGGAAGAAGCCAAAGCGATGAGGGAATCGCAAAAAGTGCCTCCACCTCTTCCAGCAAAACCTCAAAACAGCACTCCCTATTCTTCCTATGAGGCACCGCGCTCCTATGATTATCCAAGTCAGTCCTTTTCCCCTTCTCCGTATCCTGGGGCGGATGCAAGAAATCCTCAGCCCACGACCAGTGCCTTTCCGCCAGTCGATCCACAACGACAAGACAGTCAGCTGACAATGAGTGACGTTTATCAGGCTGCTGCAGGTGTTGGAAATAAATTAAAACAGATTGATAACGACTACCATGTTACACAGACTTGTAAGAATGTGGCCACTGCTTGCGTGAACAAGGCCAAGGAGCTAGACAAAGAATATGAGGTATACTTTGTTGAAGATTCTAAGTTTTTAGATTCGCCAGAAAGCTGTTCAAATGGGACATCAAATCAAAGCCTGGGATGAACGAAATGGTGTTTCGAAAGCAATCGTGAATGGAGTCCATCAAGTTGCAGGACAAGTAACAACAGCAATCAAGGGAATGGCAGATCAAAATAGAGCGAATACCTATCCTCCCCAATAATTTGCCTTTTGCTAGTCTCATCCTGCTTCATCTCCGTTTTTTGCTGCCTTTCTTGTTTGTTTTGAAAAGATCAATCTGGATATTGTTTCTACAACAATTTCGTTTTCCCCGCGGGGATCGGTTTATTAATACTGCCTTCAATATTAGTTCCAAAACCCTGTAGAACCATGTCTATGACTATGAGAGCTCTTCGCATTGGACAGATGTCCATTAAGAGTGTGAGCTGCTGCGCTGCGGCTCAGGTTCCGGTCTTTATGAGACATCACACTCCTTACAATTACTCTTCGCCTGCTAAGCCCAAGAACCTTTGGGAGGGTCTTTGGAATGGTATTGCTTCTCGAATTCCGCTCATTTCTAGCCGATTCCACCAATCTCCACGAGAAGATCTTCCATTACAGCCAGCTGACCGCTGCTTGCTTGGTTCCTGTTTCTTTCGTGTTGGCGCCGTCTGCTCTTTGTGTATTAAGTTTTGAGAGGTTTCTGAGACCTAGGTTCCTATTGATTACGTTCTGTGCGTTTTGTATCCTCTCCACGGATGCATTGGTATGAGCCATATCTTTAGTGACTATTGCGGACCTGTAGAGTTTGGCTGCTGGAGTGAGGATTGTAGGTGCTCGGAAAATCGCTGAAGATCCTGACGCTGTTCGCCTCTCTGCTCGGAATGTTTGGTCTTCTCTACCTTAATGCGACTTCCGATGGTCTGACCGCTACGATCAAGGCTCTCTGGAGACCCAAGATTGAGGACAAGAGAGACTAAAATTGTTTACCGAAACAAATCATCTTTTTGCGTGTTTGAGAAAACAAACATAAATCATGACAAATCAATAAAAACGAACTATTACTACAATGTATCATAATATTGAATAATTATATAATTATATATATATATATATATATAGACCAAGCAGTACAATCAATTTGCAAGGCCATATAAAAGATCCCTCGATAAATATAGATGATTAACTATACATCTTCTCGATCTCCTCAGAGAACACCGAGCTGATGTAGCCTCGCTTCATCTTCAGGGTGGGCGTCAATTCGCCCGTGTTCATCGAGAAGTCGCGTTTCAAGATCGAGAACTTCTGAATCCTACACCCTCACTTCAATCCCCCATTCCCTACTTTTGCGCGTTGCTGAACGCCGACATGTTGTACTGCTGAATCACATCGTAGAAGTACTTCTGCACCAGCTGGTCTTCCGAAGCTTCCTGCGCCGTGCGAGCGTTCGACCCCAGCGTCTTCATCAGATTCGCCGCCTCGCCCAGCAGCTCGCCTTCCGCGCCTTCCGTGTCTCCATTCACACGGCAGTTCAGCGTCAGCAGCACCGTGAGATACTTCCGCTTGTCTCCGATCAGAACCACGTTCGACAGAGCGGGAGCCAGGCGCTTCAGCTCCGATTCGATGAGGATGGGAGGGATGTTCTCGCCTCCCGCAGTCACGATCAGCTCCTTGATGCGTCCAGTGACCTTCCAGAAGCCGTCCGCGTCCACGGATCCGCAATCGCCGGAGTGGAGGAAGCCATCGTCATCGATCACGCGCAGCGTTTCCTCGGGCATCTTCAGATAGCCCATGAACACGTGGCGGCCGCTCACGATGATCTCGTTGCTTCCAGGCACCGTTTTCACGATCGAACCCCGCATGGCCTTGCCAGCAGTCGCCATCTTCCACTGCCCCAGCGTGTGGAACGTCGTGGGACCCGAACTCTCCGACATGCCGAAGATCTCAAACAGCGGCAGGCCGAACGAGGCGAGGAACTGCACCGTCGACAGATCGATCGGGGCCGCGGCACTGAACATGAGGCGAGCTTCGCTCAGACCCAAAGAGGTCTGCACCTTGGTCAGAATCTTCTTGGCCAGGTTGAAGAAGGTGATTCGCTGCTTCTTCGTGCCCACCTGGAGGTTATTGCAGTAGCGTGTTCCACGCTTGCGAGCGAAATTCGACAGCATTCGCTTGAAGCAGGATGCTTCCGCCAATTTGGCCGTGATGGCCTCCACCATCTTCTCAAACACGCGAGGCACCGACACGAAAATGGTCGGCTGGACTTCGCGCAGCGTGTTCACCAAACTGCCCTTCAGAGCGTCCGGACGCGCGAAATAGAGCGTAAATCCGAGCACCATTCCAGCGAAGATATCGATCATCTGGGCAGCGATGTGGCTCAGAGGAAGGAAACTCACGAGACGGTCCTGCGTCCCGATATTAAAATCCTTCTGGATCACGCGGATCACAAACACAATATTGTCGTCGCTTATCATCACCGCCTTGGGGTTTCCAGTCGTTCCAGACGTGTAGATAAGAGAAACGCATTGGCCGGGCTTCTGATTCGCCACACGACGATCAATCTCCTTGTCAGCCTCTTCAGAGCCCATTTCCAAAAAGTCCACCCAGTTGCGAACCTTCGCAACTCCCTCCTCATCCTGAGGAAGCTGGACAGAGTCATCAGCATTATAAACGACAATCATACGAAGATTGGGGAGTCGGGCACGGATTTCCAGCATCTTTTTCAACTGGCTCTGGCCGTCTACAACCACCACCGCAGAGTTGCAGTGGTTCATCACATAGAAGCAAGCATCGGGACCGTTCGTCGCATAGATTCCAGTCGCCACGCCGCCTGCCTCAATGCAACCATGGACAGCAAACATGTATTCGGGGGCATTGAACCCGATCACAGAAACTGTATCAAAAGGCTTGAGTCCGATCGAAATCAGAGCTCGAGCAAAACGATGAGAATTCTCATAATACTGCATCCAGGTATACTTAATTCCACGGCAACTTACGAGTGCAATTCTGTCTCCACGCTCCTTCGAGACGTCTCTGAATATCTGGCTCACGGATTCATAAGGGTAAGATGATCCCTCGTCGACATTCGGTCGAATCTCAACGATATCATCAATATTCGTGGCTCGGTATTTATCAGGGAGACTAGTAGACATTTGGAAACTTAATAATTTTTTATGAAAGGCTGGGATAACACTACGTCGTTCAAAATAGAGGATGACAAATGTAACTCCTTTATTGTGTTCCTCTCCACAAATAGTCCACGCTAAATTCGATGTTTTCGGTCCTTTTAACAAACAATAACATAATGAATAAACTACAGAGTCCGATTTGTCCAATGAGCTTTTGGAATGAACCCCTGGTTCCTGCCCCTCCTTCTTTTCCTGCTTCATACTTGTACAAAAGCTCTGGAAATGACGCATGATTCGTTCGTTCAGCTCGGAGGAGATTGCCTCACAGCCAGCATTTCCAGTTCCCACGGTAATCTCAAACCTTCGCTAGAGAGTCCGCATGAATCCTACTTTATTTCCTTCTTGTTCCCCTCGCCCTCAAAGAGCTTTTCATACTCCTCCACCAGATTGCCCCCAGACACCAGTAAGCATCCGTTCACATGAACAGAGACAGACTCCAGCTTCACCTCGTTCTCTAGGAGCAGCATCTGGATGATACTCCACGGAAAAGAAGGATTCTTCTCTCCCATTCTATAGAAATGTAGAGTCTGAGCTACATAAGCTTACTGCATTCGAAAAAGCAAATCTCCCGCCAACTTCCATGCGATGGCTTGACACACTTTATTTTGACTCCCTCCCTTGACTGCGATTGTAATCGCCTATTTCTCACGATCTCCACGTCTCGTCGACTTTGTGGTAATACAGAACGCGTCTTGTCAATGCGAACGCGATCTCCTTGCAGAGCGTGAAGATCGCATTATAAATCCGCTGCAGGTCGATCGAAGATTCCGTCGACGGCGCCAGACTGTTCCGGCCTCGCGTCGCCAGCAGATGAAACTGATCATGCGGCATCGGCGCTAGCTGATGGTCCGGAAGCATCGGAACGAACGTGCTCAGCACGGCCTGGTTGAAAAACTGTGTGCCAGCCCCTCCGAATCCGTACCTCGCTCAAAATGGAGCTGGGCACATCGAAGTCCGTCGCACAAATCAGCGTAACCGCGGGACAAAACGGACCGCAAAGGTAGTACTACCCTCGATTCCACGTTTCGACCCCACATTGCAGCTGCCCCCGATCGTTTCCACCTCTCCGTCCACACGCGTCACGCGACACGCGCCGCTCTACCCTCCAAAAACCGCGGTGAACTCACTTCGATCACGCCGCCCTGGCTCAGCGCGCTCTCGAACGCCTTGTTGCAAGCAGAGCGACTCGTGTACAGCGTCGACAGCTGCTTGCGCAGCTGCTGGAGCCGGTCCGGGGTCCAAAAACCGCGGGGAGACGCGTCGAAGGAGACGTCGTTGAGAGAAAGAAGCGGGGATTTCTGCGCGACGACCTGCGTCATTTGGTCCAGCAGCTGCGGCGAAACGCCCGGGGAGGCGGAGAGAAGCGGGTAGAGAAGCGCCGTGGAGAGGAGGCTGTGCTGGAGCGCGGCGGCTACGAAATAGTGCGTCCAATCCGATGAAAACGCGAGGAATCCGTGCGGTACGGTCCCGAAGTAATCAAAAAATAGTGACTATTTTCGCAGTAGCTTTCGATTCGGTTCTTCAACGCCAGCTCGAAGGCCAGCTCTTCCTGCTGCACCGACCGCTCTGCGTGAAACGCCCCGGCCATTCCCACGGTTATGGAACACGACGAAGTCGTAGCGCACCGTGCGGCTGTTCACGCTCGCCGAATTGCTCATTCCCCCGTGGTACCGGCTGATGACGGTCAGTCCCGCGGGGGAGACCTCGTTGGAGACGGTTTCAGCGGTCTGGAGGAAGTGGATGGAGTCGGCAATGCCCGGGTCGGAGTCGGCTTTGCCGGGATTGGGCGGGTCGGAGGGGAGTTTGGCGGGTCGGAGATGGCGGGAATTGACGATGAAAAGCGGCGTGGATTTGGAGGGAGGCTCGGTGACGCCGACGGTGGGTGGGAGAATCAATTGGAGGTCCGAAACGGAGAAAATCCCGCCGTCTTTGATCTACCGGTGACGGGTGGAAACCGTGGAAACGGAGGAGAAGGAAGGCTTGCTGAGCTCGAACTCGCCGATGATCTTGAGAAGCTTGAGCGTGTTGGTCTGTCGGAGATACTGGTCCAGGCCGTCCAGCTTGAGGCACGTGCGGATGATCTACTCTCCACCGGGAATGACAAAAAACGGGCAGATATTTGTAGTGCCGGAAATCCTCCGGAAACGGCAGAACCTCCACTTTGGACCGCGGTTTCCGCTTCCCGGCGCTCTCTCCGTCCATCATCGCGACGTACCCCAGCGCGTCCTTCGACTGCTCGATGCTGCCCTCGCTCGTCATGAACTCGCTCATCGCCAGCGCCGGATCCTCCACGTGGTTCAGCGCGCTCGCCTGCTTCTCGTACAGAAACGCGTGATCCATGTTCCCGTTCATCGAAAATTCCACGTTTACCACCGTCGACGGGTCCGCAGGGTCGCTCCCGCCCCCGCCGAACTCTCCAGGTTCTCCGGTTTCTCCGGTTTCTCCGGTTTCGGAGGCGAAGAGAGCGTGGAAACCGGCTTTGGACTGCAGTTTGGCGCAGATTTGGCTCCATAAATCGCGGATGTTGCGCCGCCACGCGCGACGGAGGACCGGGAACTCGGGGTTCTTCTCGTCGATCTGCCACTGCTTTTCCATCTAGAGAGAAATGGGGAAACGGGGAAACCATGGCGATGCGCTCTAAAACGCCGGTCACGCGCTGATAGTCGGTGATGGCGCCGCCGCGACCCTTCTCGGTTCCTTGCTTGTCGAAATAGTTGCAGCCGAAGCATTGAAGGATCTCTACGAGACAAGGATAGAAGGTCGAGGGATCATTCTCGATTTCTTCAAGAGAGGGGAGATGACTTCCCTGAAGGATGAAATTCGAAAGTTCGAAAGTACTTCTCTTTTGCTGTATTCTGTTTTGTGGAAAAAACGATTGATACCTAAGCGAGTCAGCTCCTTCTTCCCTATGCGCTTCTCAGAGCTTCCTTCGTCCTATGATAGAAGAGCACACAATGAAATCCAAACGCCTATCTTAATGCGCTTTAGAGGAACATATCCGTCCTGCTGAATCGGTTGTTCTCTTATTATCGGGTTGACCGGCTGTTGGATCACTCCTTCGTTCACATTGGGAGCAGGAACGAAGGTTGTTGTCGAAGCAGGGTTTATTGTGATTTCATGAGATGACTGGATGATGTGTTGTGGATTGATATTGTTTGGAAAGGCAACCGAGGAATCTGTGATCACAGTGAGCTGATTGGACTGTGGATAGAAGGACTGTTGCTGCAGTCCCTGATCTCCTGCAGTTCAACGTGAAATGAAGAGAACTACCTCGTATCTGCAAATCGGAAGCTGGCCGCAAGCTTTGGTCGCTTTCAAAGTTCTGGATGAACATCGGCATGAAAGCGAAAACCTGCGAATGTTTGTTCAAAAAACAAAATAGGAATCTAAAGCACATTCCAATTCACTATATTCATTTATTTATTTATTTATTTATTTATTTATTTATTTATTTATTTATTTATTTATTTATTTATTTATATTCTTCTCTAGCACCCTGAGTGAATTGAAAATTCAATAACTTGATAACAAGAATCATACCATCATCAAAATCAAAATCACAACCTTCCTCCCTCCTCCTCCTCCTTCTCCTCCTAATGATTAATCGTCACTCTCTTCCTCTTCTTCTCCTCCTCCTCATCCAAGTCCCTCTCTAGCGTTCTCTTCGCAAAGATCGGTTTCGGCTGGTTCTTCTGAAACACCTTCGTGAAATACTCCGCCTGCCGGTCCTTCGTCGTGTCATTCGCATGCCGAATCAGCGCTTCCCGCGGGTCCATATCTACCTCGCACTCCGTCCCGACGTCTACTCAAATCCTTCTTGTCCACCTTCGACAAAACCTCCGCCTCCTCGAATCCCAGTCCCTGGCCTCCGCTGATCATCGGCAATCCCGTCTCAGGAATGATCGGACCCGACGTCGTCCACGCTGTTTTGCCTCCCGAATGCAGCATTTCCTGATAAGGGACCGCATATCTACATAAAAAAAACACACCTCAGCAGATACGGATCCAGTTTTCCGGGACGGTTATCTCGCTTCTTGGGCTCATCGCGGCTGTCTCGCAGATCGTCATCGTTGCTCTCCGGCGCATAAATCACGTTCATCAGATTGCCGAACTGCATCTCCACCTTCTTCTTCTTCTACACATCACTCCGCCGCCTCGCGCCCACCGTCCGGCCCTCCACCATCACCGCGCCGCGCACGCTGAACGCCGGATCGTACAGACACACCACTTCCCCACTGTGCATCCCCGCGATTATCTGGTTCAGCTTCGGGTGCCACAGCACCGAGAACGGCGTCGATCCCCGCGGGAACGCGTGCGAATAGCTGGGCTCGATCGGAAAAAACAAGGCTACAGCGGCTTGAGCGTGCTGTCGAAAACGTCGTAGATGTTGAGGAGCGAGGTGGCGTCGGTCTGGAGATCCGCGGGGATCGCGAAGGCCATCAGCTTGCCGTCGGGCGAGAACGCGACATTGCAGCCGTTCCCGAAGGTGTTCGCGTTCTTGAATCGCTTCAGCGGCGACTGCGGGAGAGGACGAGCAGGAGGCCTACCTTGATGTTGCGGAGGTCCCAGAGACAGACGGTGCTGTCCATGGCGCGGGAAGTGAAGACTTGGCCCGACGGGTGGAGGCGAAGATCCACCACTTGGCTGCTGTGCGTCGTGAAGTTCGAGGACACTGCGCGAGAGAGGCGGTTGCGCTCGTCGTAGAGCACGATCCCGCCTTCGATGCATCCCAGAAGGATTTGGTTCCCGTCCTGGTTGTAGATCCCGCTGGTAATGCTCGTGCGAAGACCACGCTTGTTCTTCACTTGGAAGACACGGTCCGATTCGAGCTCGTTGAACGATAGAGTGCCGTTTAGATCCCAAATACGGCACGTTCCGTCCAGAGAAGCAGACATCACCGTGTCCGGCTTTGTGGGGTGCCATTGCACGGCACGGACTGTGTTTGTGTGGCCCGGGGTTTTTGTGTTGTCCAGGACGTAGGGATTTCCCTTGATGAAGACGACCTTCTTATTTCCGTTCTTATCATACACTATGGGCTTTGCATCGGACGTAGAAGCCACAAATTGGTCAGACGCAGGACTGTAACTCAAACAGAATACGGACTGTCCTTCTACAACCGAAAACGTGCTATGCTTACACTCCAGTGTCAACTCCTACTGAAAAGGACCGTGTTCGATCGTCATTCCTCCGAAGTCGTACATTCGCACCAAATGGTCACTGCAGCCCGAGATAACACGGGCGCCGGATGTATCCCAGGCAAGACAGTTGATTGCTTTCGATGCTCCCGTAAGGACCAGCTCCTTCCTGAGAGGGAGGCGGTACTTTTCTATGATTTCCTCGGACATTCTGAAAGTAAAAATTGAAAGAGATGAATGGGTTCCGAAAATAGGTACGAATTCTGGCAAATTCAACAAACTATCAATATTCCTGTATTATAGTTACTTGATGGATGATAAAAATTCGAGTCAACCCCTATCAACAGATTCAATCGATCAAGCAAATTTAAGAGATAGCGAATTTGTTTGGGAACCAAAAGGATCTGAAATGCAATCGCAACTGCAACAGCATGGAGCGGAATCAATGATTACAGGCATAGCAGATATGTTACAACAATCTTGGTCAGGAGATGGTGGCTTCATGCTACGGCAAAGTTTGGATAGTTTTCGAAGAGACTCTATTCGAGAGATGAATTTGGGTGATGCTTCTCTTTATTCTTCAAATTACGGTTTTTTGCAGGGAAGCAATCACAGTTATTTCCATGCTGCTGACAGGCCGGTAACTGCGTGATTTCTAATAGTAAAACCGTAGATATCCGAAGGGCCAGAAATGAATTTCGACTCTTCGATACGAATCGACAATTTCAGTACTTCCTCAGTCCCTCTTTCCAATTTTTTAGATGAATCATACAATCGCACAACAGACACCTTTGATGTTCTCAGAAACTCTTTTACTACGTATTGATTCATCGCATTTAATATCCCTAGATCTCTTATTTCTGGGAAGAGGTCTTCGGACATTCATTCGGATGTCTCAGCCCAACCTGGAAAGCTTTTCGATCTTCGCAGCTCGGTACTTTCGGTTTCTTGTCTTCACGTTAGTTCTCATCGCATCGCGAAGCTCATTTTACTTCTCTAAGGCCAGTCGACTCGCTTCCGTTCCCCATCGACCAATCCGAATTGCATCGCAGCAGTCTCCAAATCCCGGACGCTCCCGACACTCGCATCCCCATGCAGCCATTCTGCAATGTTTGCACCGCCTCTCCTCCGCTCCCCGTGGAGACGAAGCCTCCCACCATGCCAGTCTATCACAATCTCACAGTGGGATCCCAAACCTTTCCACCTGCGGGATCCCATATCTTTCCACCTGTGGAACCCCACTCTCCTCAACCCGTGGGATCCCAAACCTTTCCACCTGCGGGATCCCATATCTTTCCACCTGTGGAACCCCACTCTCCTCAACCCGTGGGATCCCAAACCTTTCCACCTGCGGGATCCCATATCTTTCCACCTGTGGAATCCCACTCTCCTCAACCCGTGGGATCCCAAACCTTTCCACCTGCGGGATCCCATATCTTACCACCTGCGGGATCCCATATCTTTCCACCTGTGGGATCCCAATCTCTTCCATCTGTGGGGTCCCTACCCCTCCCATCTGTGGGATCCCAACCTCTCGATGCCCCGCCTGTCGACGTTCAGCCGGTGCAATTGGCGCCGTCGGACGAGTCCGTGGGGTCCACGGCCAGCACGCAGCTCTCTCAGCTCTCTCAGCTCTCTCAGCTCCCCCAGCTCCCTCAGCTCCCTCAATTCTCGGGGAGTTTCCTCATGGAGCCGGTGCCGGGGAGTCCGGGTCTGTTCAAAGCGATGGGCGCGGTGCCGGTGACGGAGTGCAGCCTCATCATCGGGTCTCCGGTGATCAGCGCGTCGGTAGGGTCTTCCGGAACGAACTCATCGCTGATCGGGTCGCCGGTACTGGGGAGCGCGATTTCACTGCCGGGGCGCGGGAACAGCGTGCAGATCGGCGGCGGAGGGGGCGTGGAGGGCGCTGCGGAGAGCTTGGAGAGCGGAGAGAATGCGGGAGGAAGGCATGGTCCGCGGTATCGAGGAAAGAAGGGAGTGGAGCTGAAGGGAGAAGTGGACGGCGTGCCGGTGGTGAGCGTGATGTAGTGATTGAAAGAGAGAGGTTAGGCGATAGACCGGATATGAAGGTGCCGAGAAAGAGCCAGAAATGGACGGAGGAGGAAGATCGGTTGCTGCTGGACGCGGTGGAGAAGATTGGCGAGCGGAAGTGGATCGAGGTCAGCAAGTGTAAGTGCGAGCGAAGAGTGCGAGGATGTAGGCGTTCCGGGGCGCGACAACACACAATGCATGCAGCGATACACGAAGGTGCTGCGGCCAGGGATCAAGAAGGGAACGTGGAGTCCGGAGGAAGATCGATTGCTGCTGGAGTGGGTGAAGCGACTGGGGACGGGGAACTGGGAGGAAATCGCGTCGCACATCGAGGGGCGGAGCGCGGGGAAGTGTCGAGAGCGCTATACGAACTACATCGGACCGGATGTGAAGAAGGGGTGAGCGAGGAGGGAGGGATCGAGGCGTAGAGGATGGACGGAGGAGGAAGATCGTCTGATTTTAGAGCTGCAGAAGCAGTGGGGCAATCACTGGGCGGCGATCGCACAGGTAGCAGAGGAGGGGAGCGTGGAGCGTAGAAGCTGCCGCGTCGCACGGCCAACGATATAAAATCGCGCTGGAAATCGCTGAACAAGAAAGGCCAGAAGAAAACGAGCTAGTCATCCCTCTGTTTGTGAACAAACAACTCAAAACCGATAGCCGATCTGCACTAGATCCCGGATCCACGCTTGAATGAACTCCACATCGCGAAGCTCCACGATGCCGCGTTCGTACATCTCCACATACAACTCTTCCAAAATCTCTGGAACTTCCTGCGCCTTCGGCGTCCACTCGTTCAAGAACTTCAGCATCGCTTCGGTCTGCGTGTAGAGCGGCATCTCCGCATCGAAGTCCTTGATCAGTCTATGCTGGTTTCGAATGTGATTCACGATGGAAGGGCAGAACGCCATGTATTTATCGCGCTCCCACATCACTCGTTGCGTGAAGTACGATCGCCAAATGTCCGAGACGCGGCCGTGCACGGTCATCGGAAGCAACATACCCCAAAAGGTTTCATATTCAAATACAGTCGACTGGGCGTTCCATGGAGAGAATGACGTCTTCTTTAAAATGATACAATAGGTGATGGAGGGGTCGAAGGTGGAAGGAATCGTACTCGTGATGCGGTAAATCGCATCCAGGTCCGGATTCACGTTCTGCAAGTATTGGATCACGCCGATTTTATTCACCAGCGAAGACTTCTCAGAGGGGTTTTCGTCGATGAAGGAGTAATCATGAGGGGTCTTGATAGCCTCCAGAGGATAGCCACGAGGCCAAATGTACTCACCCTCCTTGTTCAGATAGATCATGTAAGGGTTGGTCACGTACTGAGTCGTATTAACGAACTTGAATGTCTTCTTATCCTTACGGAAGACCTGATTCATAATGTTCTTGTCTGAAATCAGCTCATTATCATCATCTAGATCAAAAATTCGCTTTGCTCCGTGCTGGATAGCATACAGGAAACCCACATTCTTACGGGCAAAATGATTCCACGGTACTAACTTCATAATATTATAATCGAGCTTCTCCTGATCCTCCACGGTGAGATAGACCAAGTGAGCGCGGGTTACGTTATACTCTATCGGAGACTTCTTGTCTGCCACAACAACCACACAAAGGTTCTCCTCTGTCTCAGCTAGTTGCCGAACTACAACAGTGGGAGAATTGACGGACGTGATGACTGCCCAGCTCTTACAGACCATGCCATCTACATTGGGCTTCTCTTTATGAACCAATTCTTCTTTCTGCAGTCTGGCACCACTATAACTTCTTTTCTTTGTCATTTCAAAGGAACTCCCAGTAACCGCATCCAACATTTCCTTAACGTTGCAGATAGTGCGGTCTCGAACCAGAGACAGGAAATGGGGTACTCGGGCAGCCATTCGACTTTCCATATAAGAAGAGAAAAACATAGCAAGAACTGTGCTAAACGCTATAGCACACAATACAGCAACGTGTGATATGTTCATTAGTTGTTAATGACAGATAACAATTTGTGGGACAAACTAAGCGTTTCAAAATCAACTCCAGTTAATTTGTACTTTGGCTCAAACAACATTGTTATATCGATTTCCATACAGTCACCTTCGATTTGATTCCTTTTGCCTCAATTCTTCCAGTTCGCAGGGCATTAGCGGACGAGTAATCCCAATGGGTTTGTTTCTGATTATTTCGGAGTCCCTGAATTGCGGACTGCTGGTAATCCATCCCCTTCCCCCTACTTCTTGATGTAATTTTCCTCCCAAGTCGTCTTCTCACCGCGAAGTCGATAAAATGGAATTCCTTGATTTGCATAGGTCGCTCTCGCTAATCTCCCCACATTGTGCATATTTTTACAGAATACCTCATCATCACATGGAAAATAAAACACTCCTACCACGCCACCCTTCTCGTGAAGTCCTTTCCATCCGTGTTTCACTAAAATAATGGGATTCACGAGCAGCAAGCCACCTGCAAACCTATGTAACAGTCAAGAAAAATTAAGGCAAACAAGAACTCATCGTCACGAACGAGCAACTCAAAACACTTCTTGCAACGTAGTCCGTTGTGCTGCTTGGGCTGAGGACAAATTGGCTTCACTTCTTCTGTAGAATGACTTTCTGACCGACTGGGAACAAACCCGATATTGCGCGCGAGAACCTCCATCTGACTCACAATCGGCGTGCTCTTTTCCCTTTCTTTCTCTTCGAGGAGATCAATACAATTTGGATGTGTTTCTCTCTTCTCCTTTATTAGCTCTCGGTGAATTCGTTCATAGCACTAAAATGAGCAACAAAAACAAACATCCACCTACACTCGAACAATAATAATGCTTGCAGTCCAAACAATGGTACTGAACCTTATTTTCACTGCATTCCTCGCAGATAGAAGGAACTGTGACGGAAACCCTTTCTTCCTCATTTACAGAACTCTCCTCTGAGTCTTTGTCGTTTTCTGACACAATGGAATTTGTTTTTGTAGAAATAGCAAACAACTGGCGTTGCTTCCTTTTTCTCTCCTTCTTCTTCCTTCTTCGCTTGTCTGCTCGTGTAAGCTGACTATCCATAGACTCTCCCCGAAGCGAAGTAAAATGTCTACAAACAAACAAGCCAAGCAACTTTATAAATAACAGCAAATACTTCATCTAAAGGCAAAAACGGACTCATGTCCTTTTCACGTAATAGTAAACTACTTGTCACAAATCGATAAAATCGGTCATAGAGATGTTGCTGCATTTCGATCTCCACAAAAACGGAGAAGTGCTGGTAATATGCATGTAAATAGAGTCGATACAGCCTTCGTAGCAGGGAAGACATCTCCTTCTGAATCTCCTCTTGGCTTTGCGTTTTTCTTTCTGTTATGCACTCTAATCGCTCCTACTCTTCCACTGCCACCTGAATAGACCCTATTCGCATCATGCTGTAGTTAATGTTGTGATAGTAGTAGTCTAGCGCGCAGCACTGCTTGTTATTACAATTTCTGGACTTACTCGATTGTTTCGCGGATGACAGGAGCACAGATATTCGAAACCGCTCGATGTGTTCATAATGGGACATCGAGAGGCGCAGCCATCCCTTTGAATCAAGTTTTGAAGCAGTTGGCAATCGCGAATCGTATCGCTGGAGGTGAGACAGGGAGATGGGACCTACGTTAGCAGACAAAGCCACCAATAGAAGGTTGGAACCCCTTCAGGAGTGGAAATCACATAGTTGCAGTCGTAATCATAGGTACGACCGAACTGTTCGCATTTTCGAGAGCAAAGGATCTCTTCGCACTTGCACAGCAAATTGGGAGCGGTTGAAACTGAGTATTCCTGCAGCATCATTACCGGGAATTCACTTTGCGTTGAGCCTATTTTATCGAAAATACAACTATTACAAACCTGGTACAAGCCGATTTTCAATAGAGTCGATAACCTCGCTATTTACCTCCTCGATCTTCTACATATGAACAAAAACATACTGAAATACATCACTTAAACTGGTATTGTTCTCCGTAGCGCAAATCTCGGTTAATCCATCATATCTATTGTTAATTCCTGTTCATTCTTGTACCCTATTATACTGTTAATCTTTTTTGCACAGTCCTTTTTCTCGCTCTTGTCAGTGCTCAAGACATACCTTATGAGTATTGCAGAGACCTATCGTTCAGTCGATTGACCGTTCTACATACTGTCTGCATTGTATACTCCAGAGAACTCATATTTATCTGGAATGTCGGAACACTCTTGTATTTGAAATTCCAAAAGTTCGGACTTTTTAGCAGATTTACTTGATTTTTTCTGCGGGTCTTGTTCAAGATTTCGTTTTTGGGGCTTACCTTGGAACTAAAATGAAGGATGACCACCTCCTTTCCGACGTAGTTTGTGAACTTTTTCGTTCTTCATTTCTCAATTATCGTTGGTATGAATCCTTCAACTCTTCAATCTTTCTTTGAAATTTGTGGAAAGCTAAAAGCAAGCTCTGCATACTGAAAATAAGGACTAGAACCTCAAACGAACAGGATGGGTCTATCGTGGAGTTCAGGATCCTGAATCGGTTGCAGATCACTCGTGGAGAGTTGCTATGATGTCCTTCTTCATTGAAGATCCTACAGTCGACAAAGTACAGTCGGTTTCGATTGAAAGTGTCATTTCCTAGTTGTATGAAGATGGGACTTGTCCATGACTTAGCGGAGAGCATTGTCGGAGACATTACTCCTGTCGATGACGTTTCCGTAGACGATAAGCATCAAATGGAACTGGTATCTTGCATTTCTATTCATCCATATTAGGGAGCACTCTCCACAATCGTGGCTGACTTCCCCCAACCGCTGAAAGAAGAATTTCTTGGTCTTTGGACAGAGTACGAAGAGCAAAAGACGCTCGAGTCCAACTACGTTTTCGATTTCGACAAACTGGATATGCTAGTGCAAGCAGAGGAATACGAGAGTGGTAGAGTGTTGACTTTTGTTGCTTTTCGTAGACCAAGGAATTAATCTGCAGGAATTCTTCGATTCGACAGAAGCTCTGTTTAAAACTCCCTATGGAAAGAGCGTACCGATTGAGTCGATCTCGCTGACTTCTAGCAAATTGAAGTGTTAAAGAAAAAGCGAACAGCGCGTCTTTCGAGTGCATAGATTGTTGTTTGGTTGAACAAACACTCCCAAATGAGTGAAACGGTTTCTAGGGACAAAACGACTCTTCTTCTCACCTTGTTTCACTTCTAAATTTGTACCATTTCAAACTCTTTTGGCACATATTGCTGAATGTACGTTTTCGGCAATTTCCTCCTCTTCTCCTGCCTCCTCGCCTGTCGAATTCGTACAAAAAGAACAACCACCAAGATTCCTAGAATCACCATCAGCAGAATCATCACCACGATCGAGAAGATCGATATGCAGATTCCCTCGATTGAACTCCACTTCCCTCCCCTCGTTGTCGCCTCGCACTTCCGCTTCCTTTCCCCGAGATACAACCCTTGCGAGGAGCATGCATACACTGCGTACTCTCCTGTCTTCGTTCGCTCAAACTCAGAATCAGCTTCGCAGTATCCCTGTTCCACTTGGATCGAAATCCTGGTAAACGTAAAGCCTTTTGCATTCTCTCCCAACACTACGAACGTCGCGTTTTCCCATTCCACTTCCGGCACGCCGCTGATTACTCCCGAATTCGAGTCCAATGTCAAGCCAAGAGGGAGCTGCTGCTCTCCGTAGATGGAGAACTGATCGATAAGATTGGTATAGCGAGGAAGTCCAGTACTGGAGGGAGCATCGATAAAGAAAGAAAACGAGTTCGCCTCGTATTTGAGATTTTTCGGCAATTTTAGCTCGCACATCTCATCGTGGATCTCCGAAAGCTCGCCGTTGAGGCACTCTCGATAGCGATAGCCCGCGTAGCCGTAGGGGCAAGCCGCAGGAGAGATGCTTCCGTTCGCGGCCGCTGGGAACTCGCCGCTTTCGCTACAGGAATCAGCACCAGACACGTTGCAATAGAGAAACGAGTGCGAAAAGATATAAATGGTATCGATAAACGGAACGTCGATTACTAAGCGGAACTCGTCGAATGGCAAAAGATTCAACGGCGTTTGAAATAAAGTACGGCTCATCTTTACCAGAGTCAGATTCCTGCCCGTGAACACCTTCAAATAGCCCGCTGTGTCGTTTCTGGAATCGCTGGGATCGCTTCTAGGATCGCTGGTGCGTGCATAGAGCGACATGCCCCAACCGATCCTGTTGAAAGTAACTTGCCAGGCATAGGCGTTGAACTTGGTGCCTTCCATGTTCTCCACCATCCAGTGGATGTAGTCCCCCACCTGATTCTTTAAAAGGTAGGTAACGGCGGGAGTGAAGTCAAACAGTTGTTTTACGGATTCTGGATGACCGAGAGAACTGTCCATAATAGTATACGAGTCGAGAGCGAAGGAGCATTCATTGACTCCAAAGACACCCGTGGCGTCGAACGTGATCATCTTCGTGGAAGTATAGGTAATGGGGCGATGAACCTCGAAGGCAATCACGTTCTTTCCCGCAACAGCCTTAGTCGCAGAAAAAATGATGTGAAAAAAAGGAAAATGTGTTAGGATCGTGAATACTAATGGAAGGTTGGGAAGAAGAAGCGTCGTCTTCCAGATTGAATCGAGCCACTTTCTGGCCGTTGAAGTAGGCGACGATGCCACCAACGTACCGAACACACACGTTTAACAGAGTATATTCAGAGAGATTGGGGATTTCGAACGATCGCCGCGTGTACACCGTGACTAACTCGGAAGTCCCGATCTCGCTCGCTTTCATGCGCTGCCAGCCAGAATCATCGAAGTCGACCGCAGTCCAGTCCGTTCCAGAGAGATCCACGAACTTCTCGACCTGCCAATCATCCCGATTGATCTGAAAGGGGAGATACGAGGAAAAGAGCACAGAAACGGAGGAAACGCTAGAGGGAATCAAGCCGATCTCGAACTTGATAGTTCCCTTATCGACCGCGAGGTAATATCCGTTGTAAGCAGGTGCGTTACCTCCATTACCATCGATGATTTCAAGTGTGTACAGAGCGTAGGGGAGGCAGAAGTCCACAAAGTTCAGCTGATCTTTATCGATGAACGACGTGATGGTTGAAACCAACTCGCCTTTCGTGTCTTTTCCCTTGTAAAGCTTGTAGCTGTACACCATAGTGTAAATATCTTGCATGGTGGCGAACGTTATTAGGCTCTTTCCGTCGTAGCAATCAACCGCACTAATGTTGAGTGTGACAGAGGTCAGCTCTCCAGTGTACTTCTTCGCAACAATCTGGTAGGTATGGGCCGAAGGCAGGTTTCTTATAAATCCAAAAATCCGCCCACTGTAAGGATCGAGACTCAAGTCTGGAGGAAGAGTCGAATTCACATTGAAATCGTAATAGTAATCATATAAAGGGTACATCTCGGTTATTTCATTGTTCTGATAGACCTCCAGAGAGTGTCGTGGGTACGCCAAATCGGGGATTGTCATTCCAGTGGGGTGCGCATTTAACTTGAGATGACTCAATTTCCAATAACAATTATCGGCCGCAAAATTTTCAAAGCTGTATTGGTTGTAAGGCTCGTTGTTTGCGAAGAAAAACCTGCGAGACTGACCAATCGTCGACCAAATGATTTTAGACGGCGAAGCCAGCGTTGTCCACTCTTCCAGATCACTATTTCGCGCCTTAATAATCATACTGTGAATCATATATAGCGTCACCTCAAGTGACGTCACCAAATCAATGGAGTTAACCCATTCGCGACGATCGTTATCGAACACCACTCGCAGATAGTTATTGCAATGGAAACTAAGAAGCGTACATTCGACATTACCTGCGAAGAAGCAGTCCGTAATTCCATGAACATTAAAATAGGACAGTTGGAAATTGCTCATGATCCTCGGCTCGGATCCTGACGACAAAATATGCAATGCACAATCGAAAACGGAGCTACGTTGAGTATCGTCGCAAGCTACCAGCGCGATCGCAATCGTGTTTAGACCGTTATTTAAATAAGAAACAGAAGGCTTGCTTTCTGTGGCAATTGTTCGAATGGGTAAAGAAATTTGCTGATACGTGCTGTTTTGACGATACTAGGTTGCTACAGACGTGGTGGACAGATCGCCAATGACGTTGTTTCGCCATGCTTCGACTCCGTTGAGATACACAATCACACCCGCTGGATAGCGAATGTTCAACACAAAACCGGCTCGCGATGTGACATCTGCAAACGTGAAACTCTTCTTATAGAGCTGAATTGCATTCGGGGAATCTGGAAAACTGCCTGCCATTCCGACAGAAAAAGATTCCATATCATCGTTTGTCCAGTTCGAAGGGATGCTTCCCATCAAATAGTGCCAACTCTCCTGTGCGAAAATCGGGTATTCTGTAGTGAATTGTACTGTCGTATAACCCAGCAACGACTCGTAATGTCCAGAAGCCACCAACTCCTCGAATCCACCATCATAAAGGACGTAGATATTAAGCAAGGACATAAAATGCCAGTTCGATAAAATCGATACCATTGTGACTTGAAATCGACTCTGAGGTAGACATAAATAGGTGTGAATAAGCTCTCCATTCAGTGATTCGGACATAGGAGTCACCGAATACACAATTTCGCTTGTTTCAAGATTGGTGATTTGGAATCCTTCTTGATTTATAAAATGGGAACACAATCGCTGGATATCGACCACAATCTGATCGCATCCCTCCACGGTAAGCGAGAATTCTCCGGTAAATGTCTGATTATTCATTTGTGACACGATCGTAAACGTGGTTTTCTCCATCACTTCGAATGGAATTCCCGACACAACGCAATTCGTAGAATTCAACGTCACTCCTTCTGGAAGCTGCGGAGTCACCTGGCAATTCGTAAATTCCTTCACGATCGTCTCGATTAGGACCGAGTTATATTTCACCAGCACAGAATAAGAACTGGTGGTGTAGAGAATGCTTGTTGGCACGCCGACTGTGCAGACCATCGGCTGGATCTCTTGGAGATTGAGTTCCTTCGTTCCCGAATCAGTGATATGCAGCCGATACGACTTGAAAAGCCCCGAATTGAAAAATCCATAGAAGAAATTCGAGGATCTCATCTTGTATTGGGCGTTGGTTTGTATGATTATGTTGGACCAGGAACCTTCTTCCTCTGGTTCTTCTACCTCCACTTTTCCATCCCAAGAAAATTCGGTGGGAGCAGAGACTTCATCCGCTTCATAGAACAGCAGACCATTTATATAGGGACGGAGATGAGTGAAACTATATATAATATCGGCTGTATAAGTTTGATTGAAGGAGATAACCGCGTAACTATCGCGATCCAAATCAAACAATTGGTGAAGATCCGTAACTTCAATTGAATTGGTTGAGAGAGAAACGTCTCTTGTCACGACATAGCAAGGCGCGTCGTTCGCTGTGGCTCCGTACACAGCCAAGAAACAGTCAAAAATGAATTTAGACGGTTCAGATTGAAAATGCAATTCAACAGCCACTGCGGTCGGAACATTTAGAATCTCGACTCCAGGACGCACAAAACCACGAAAGTCGGCTGTTGTATAGTTGCTTATAGGAAGAGTATCGGACGATATCGCACCGGAGGGCATGTTGTCTCGGTATACTTCGTGTCCATTTATATATACGATTATGCCATGCTGATACAAAAACTGAGCTTCGTACGCTGCCATATTCTTTGCGCCAGTTGCATAGTATCTTAGGTACTGTGTACCACCAGAAATCTCAATGTAGGTGCCTGCAGCGTAGTCCATCCAGCTTGTCTCATTAAAGGAAAAGTCATTCCAATCTGTAGGAACGGGCCCGCGACTAGTTTTCCAAGTTTGGCCCTTCAAGATAGGATACAAGAGGGATAGAGTATATCTTTCCAAATGACTGTGAACCATCATGTTTTTAAAAAACGGATTGCCGTAGATACCATCTATCTGAATATAAGAACCGGCAGACCAAGAATTATCCCAAAGGTCCTTCAACTCAAGAGTATAGAGATGGGTTGCTGAAGCGTTGATACAGTGCTCTGTTGTTACGAGACTATTATCGCCTAGCTCTTTACTTGATAGCAAGACATCAGACCCATCGAGAATAGAATAGGATTCCTGAGCGGCATGAGATCTCGTTTCCCGGGTAATTTTTAGATAGTCTTCATTGAACGCACATTCCAAAGATTTCGCAAAGCAAACTATTTATAATACTACTATTAATGGTATTACATAAAACAAATAAAAAGCATGGAGTACGTGGATACATAGTGTTATTTATTCCAAGCAATATAGTAAAAAGACACAACCAATCAAAACACATGCAAATCATTGGCACAAATGAGCACTTTTTTGCACATGTTTTTTCTCACGACTCCTTTCCTTCCTCGCTTTTATTTTTATTTTTATATTCTTAATTGTATTCAACAAACAATCAAAAAGACTATGTGACCTTCCTGCTTATATTCTTATAACCACTTCCAACACAACTAATCAACACGCCTCCCTCATCCCCATCCGGACGCAAGCGGAACACGATTCCAATCATATCGCGAAGCAATCGCAGCATCTCACCATCACCATCCCATCATGCCTCCTACTCCCACTGTCGTCGTCGTTAACGGTCCCGTTCGGATCTTGCTCACATCCTCCGGAGAAAACGCCATTAAAAGCACCGCAAGCGGCTGATGAATGCTGTCGATGCATCCTCCGCGCGCAATCTCCTCTAAAAGCAGCTCCGAGCACGCAACGCCGAGTTCTTCAGCCAACGCGCCATTCACTCCCATCATCTCCGCACAGTAGTTGTAATGATTAACCGTTTCGGCGAGAAGCGTGACTCCATATCCGGGAGAGCGTCCGCTTTCCGTTCCCGTGTAGTGGTCCTTGAAAATATGCCTAGATGAGCAGGTCGGGGAGATGGTTACACATCGGGGATGAACTTGTTGAAGAGTCCTCTGCAGCTCGTAATCACGCGATCGGCGAACTAAACGTGGAAACAAGCGAGTTGGAGTACCACGGGGGACACGCGCATCGTGTACACGACGCCGCGGACTCGCTTGACGACGCCTGCATCGGTGAGGTCGACGGGATCGAGTTCGCGCATTGTGGGACAGTTGAAAATCACTTCGCCGCCTCCCTAGACATCGATCACACATGAGGTGGATAGCACATTGGGCTCCGCGCCGCGTTTTTTGATTTGGAGACTGCAGCCCTCGGTGACTCCCCATTTCGCGAGAAGGGGAAGCGTTACGATTCGAATGATGTCCACACTGATGTCGTTTTTGTTATTAGTGATTCCCTGACGATCAAAAAGAGACGGAAAACACCACAGAGAATACGATTTTGCTTGGAACCTTTCCAAACAGCAAAAGGGGAAGAAGGCCCATCAAGAAGTAGCCAATTCCTCGCTCCTCTCCACAGTGAAACTGATACTTTCCTCCGTTGATAAAGCCTAGAGTCTAAGCGCGAAATCAGCAAAAGTTACCAGGTTTATATAATAGGCGCGTTCCTGTTTCGTTAATGTCCACTTCGCAACCACTGGACAATGTACTCACCATTTTTAGGAACTTCACTTCATAATCTAGACAGAAGCGTCCAAATCGGAATCTGAACCTTTCATTCCGGGGTTTTCATCATCTTCACGGATGTTCGTAATTACAATCGGCTTTCTGGTTAGGGTTGCCACAATAATCCGATAACGCAGTTGTTCAGCTAGTCCTTTAGCAATTCCAATCGACTCGTACGTCCCTTAAAGGTGATGTACCTCATATTACTGGTTATTGAGTCAAAACAAGTCCTTGAACCATTTCCGCGATTATTTCTCTCAAAACAAACACCTCTACCAGGACGAAAAATCACCGAATCCTCCCTGTTTCGGCTTCTTAGACACAGGAATCGCTTGCTCCTCGTGCTTGGACGTCTGCTGCTCAATCGACTCTAATATGCTTCTCCGCTTCTTTTCTTCCTCATCTTCCTCCTCCTCATCCGCAAGATTCAGCAGATTTCCCAACCCTCCGCGCTTCTGCGGCTTCGGCTGTTGAACTGGCTGCGCTTTCTCGCTCTGCTACACCTCGCTCCCTCCCCGCGATCCTACCGCCTTTTCCCGCGCCTTCTCGATCTCCAAATCGCGCTTCATGATCTGGTCGGCCAAATCGAAGGGGTTGGCGAGCACGATCGTCTTCACCAGAGTCAGCGGTTTCGTGGGTCGATCCGACGCGTCGGTTCGCAGTTTCTCCATTTCGCGCAGCACGGCCAGTCCGCCGACCACGCTACGCGTCACTCCTCTTCTCCTCTCTCTCGCTTACCGTCCGAAAACGGAGTGTTTGCGGTCCAGATGCGGAGCGGCGTCGAAGGTGATGAAGAACTGGCTTCCATTCGAATTCGGTCCGCTGTTGGCCATGCTCACCACGCCCTCCCCGCTGTGCGTCAGACTGGGATGGAACTCGTCCGCGAAGGGACGCTTCCACAGACTCTCTCCCCCCGTGCCGGTCCCTACGTTCGATTTATGGGACCGAACTCACCTGTCGGATCGCCGCCCTGCACCATGAAGCGCGGAATCAGCCGGTGGAACGGCGTGTTGTCGTACTTCCCCGCGGTACACAGCCCGAGGAAGTTCTCGGCGGTGCGCGGAACCAGGTCGCAGTGGATTTCGAGGTTGAGCGTGCCGAGACTGGTCACGAGCTGGACGTAGCCCTTCTTTTTGAGACTGCGGACGAGGTCGTAGCGACGACGCTCGATCTCCTCGTCGGTGGCGAAGTCGTATTTGCTCTCCATCTAGAGAAAAAGAGGGAAGAAAGAGGAGAGAACGGTGATCGCGGAGGAAGTGAGGGAGGAGGAGTACGCGTTGGAGGTCTGGAGAGAGCGAGGACGCGCTGCTTCGAACTCGGATTTCTTTCGGAGCTCTTCTTTCTTTTCTTTCTCGGATTTGGCGCGAATCTATGCGTTACGAAGAATAAAAAAGCGATGGGACCTCGTCGATGAGGCGCTGCATGCTCGGATTGAGGGAGACGCTCGTGTTCTTTCGCTTCTTCTTCAGCTCGTCTTCCTGCTTGATGTGGAAAAACTGGGAAACTTGACGATGGTCCGGCTTGGAAGGGTCTTGAAGAATGATGATGTCATCTTTCGTGAAGGGCTCACTGGTGATCAAGTCCTCCCAGCAATTCTGATCAATATTGAGTTCTTTGATACAGTCGTAGAGATACACATTCCCAGACGTTCGAATAACCGCAATTTTTGAATTTAAGGTGAATACTTTATATGTGACAGGACAGTGGTACTCGTTGTCCGAGTTTTTGTAGAAATGAACAGGGAATAGGTCTTTTATCGTCATCTTCTTTCCAGTGCAAGGGTTGACATGATACTCCTTCAAATACTTGTAAATATTCTTCTTCTCAAAGAGAAATCCTTCCTTGGTGATTACACCATCGACCACTGGTTGGAAGGATAGACAACAGCAGTTGAACGGAAGAATCTGCTTTTCATATCTACATTACGAAGGACTTCATTAACCCTACACCTCATGGTCCTTTTTGCCTCCAAACTCCTTCTTCCACTCTGACTGAGTGATAAACAAACGATCTTTAGAGTGCTGCTTTTTGCCCATTGCAAATTTACAAAATCCGTAGTTGCTTTTATTTCCAATTTTCCAAAATCGTTATCAACAAACAAATCCAAAATAGCACAGCAATTACTCTAACATGGACTCTAGCGTTCTACAGTTAAAAAATCCACTATGTCCCTACTTCACTCTTTTGTCTATTTGATCCAATCGATGTTCTAACTCGCTCAGTCCTTCGTCTAAAGAATTCCCTTTGAATTAGTATCTCCACTGCTACTTATACCAAATTTGTTGATCTGATCCGATATCTGATTCAATTGCAGAGAAATCGCTGTTAGTCGTTCTCGTTGATTCCAATCTCTTGAATATGATGGGATATTTTGTTCGTTTAAAATAATACCCTCTTTCATGAACTATTTTTTGACATTCTCCTCTTTTCCATGGCAAGATCAAGTACCATTTGATCATTTTGGAATATTTATGTAGGGTCCAGAAGTAGAGATAGGAAACCACGTAGTCGTGATCGTTCAAGAAGATCACGTAGCCATTCAAAGGAAAGCCGACACCGAAGAAGCCGTAGTCCGAGGTATATATGATTCTAACTATTAAAAATGTAGTTATTCAGACTATTCCGATTACTCGGGTTATTCTGATTATTCGTATTCTTACAGTTACTCTGATTATTCTTCGTCGTCAAGAAGTCCAAGTCCTAAGAAATCGAGTGAAAAGAAGGAGTAAGACTTGAGGGCTCGAGATAATGTGTAGAAAAGTGGAGGACAAAAAGTAGATGGATAGAATGTGTGATAATGATAAGAGTAATGGTAAAAGGACCCGATGGAGAGTTAGTCGAGAAAGAAGAGCCAAACTATAAAGTAACCGGTGCTTTGGGGAAAGACCGCAATACAGGAGTTATGTACAATGGTGTTTTGCTGAAAGTATTCATATGTGTCCGAATTAAGCTTTAGTGGTGCGAACCTACAGATGCCGCGAAGCCCAATTTGAAATGGCGTGTATACGAATTCAAGGACAACCAAATTATTGGTATTCGAATGAACAGCGTGGCATGTAGATACAAAATACCTCCATCGCTGCTCCGCGTTTTTGATTGGTCGAGATGAGCGCGTCTGCGATTGGCTGCTCTACCATGAATCGATCAGCAAGCAGCATGCCGTGCTACAGTTCCGCAAAGTGCCCATGGTGAGCAATGAATCGATCGTTTTTGAGAAATAGAACAGCAAGGAAAAGGGCGAATTCCGCCGAATGGTGATCAGGTAGGCTAGAACCGAAGGGCTGAAGCATAGGCCGTATATTATGGACTTGGAATCGACGAATGGAACGTATCTGAATGGCAAGAAGATCGAGGCGTCGAGATATTACGAGCTGCGTGAAGGCGATGAGTTGCGATTTGGGTATTCCACGCGGACGTACATTCTGCTGAACGAGCACTCTGCGGATTTGGAGATGGAGGAAGAGCGACTGCGAAGAGAAAAGCAGGAAGAAAACGAGGGGCAGCAAGAGAAGCAAGAGCCGAGCGAGGCGAAAGACGACCGATATTTGAATGAATTCATTGAGTGATTGAAAGTAGAGCAGTGAGAGGAATGAATGAAAGAATGAATTGAATGAATGAATGAATGAATGAATTATTGAATGAACAAACAAAGAGAAATAGAAAGGAACGAGTGTTTATTGAACAAATTCGTTATTTCGCACTGCAGATCTCTTTAAAGTCGATAACATAAATACCATTCCCTTTTCGATTGTGACACAACGTCCAGAAATAAGACACAAAATCATTATTCAGCGGGAAATAGAAACTGCATGAATCTATAAAATCTATCATAAGCTGACTGACGCAGCTATCCTGATCCATTTGGAATCCCTTCTTCTCCTCCAATTCCGACATAAACAGCTTCTTCAACTTCGCCGACACCTCCTCCATATAGGACTTGAACTGCATGCGATAGTACTGCAGCGGAATCGTCTGATTGAAGTTGCTTGCCATCACTGCACTCACAACTCCCTGCACGTCCTTCAAAGGCACTTCCCCATATTCTGATCCAAACTCCTTCTTGCATTCTACTCATTACGCTCCAACCCTCGCTCCCACCAAGCCCCATCAACGAAGAAAGCTTCTTATCCACGAGCAACGGATCGCCGAACACTACAGGATTAGCCAGCTGGTCGACCTGCTGGAGAGAAGCGGCCACGGCCATGTTCATCAAATATCTCGCCGAACGATCGCAGGCGAGAGGGAGAAGAGAGATCCAGGTGTTGTCCCAGACGTTCTTCACGTATTTGGAGACAGCTGCGTATTCGTACACATGCGCGAAATAACCACTCATTTGGCGGTCTTTGATGGTCATCACTAACACATTCCGCATGCTCCGAGCATAGGAAAAAGCAGCATCCGCATACGCCGCCTCAGCAAAAATGATCAGACGCTTGAACCTGCCTTACAAGCGAGTGAGAAAACCTACATCTTTTGGTTGCTCATATACTTCAGGGTGTCTTTAACATAGGAGGAAGTTAATGTACGAGAGGGATAGAATTGACTTCCTCGACCATGTGTATCCATGAAGAAGACAGTAAGAACATCACTGCTAGTAAGCTACGATAAATACAAAGGAGTAAGAAAACATTGAGTTGCTTGAATGAGTTGAGTCTAGACTGCTTTTTAACATAGTTATAATCACCCTTCATATAGTTCATTAAAAATCGTGGATTGACATATTTTCCCGCAAAATGAATGTCCCCGCAAAAAAAACTATAAGGCCGGTCACGATGGTAATAATTATCACCGGAATACCAATTCTTGTAGCACGAATTCCAATCCATCGTATAGTCTGTAGTATCAACCATGTACACGATATTATCAATATCATAACCTGTTGCAGTCAAGTACTATAACATTACGAATTGATTTTATTGATACAGTGATAATACGGCAAGGGGTAGAAGGTAAGTCCGTGTCGCGTATTGGCTCGATACTTGCATAGATGATTGCATAATTCTTTGCATAGATCACAGAAAATAAGAAAAACACGACGAATTGGAGCATTTTAACACTTTTTATTAGTTTTTCTTTACATGAGTCCTCTAACGATATAAATATTGAACTCGTAAGATCTCGATTTCGTTTTTCTGATCTGGCCGAGTGGTAACTCACTCTCCTCCTCTTTCCAGTTCATTCACCTTCCCTGTGTTCGAAACACACCTCTTCTACTTTTATTAAATGAGCGAATTGGCTGCATGCGTGCTTCCCCTGGAAGATAAATATGATACTTTTTCCATTTTGGAAATGTCCATAAGTGGAAAGTATCTAGTGGGAGTTCGAAGGCATGTTGCTCCGAATATTATTTATGTATTTGGAAATGAGATGTCCTGACTTGATATAGGTTTATGAATCTGTTGCAAGCTCAACCTTTATAGCAAAGTCAAAAAGAGGAAGAATGTTGGATTCTATACTAATAGTTGATTGATAGTGATGATTGCAATCCAATACTGCGCATTGCTTGTCATTCCAAGTCCATTTCCTCTGTCGCTGTTTTTGCTATAGTATTTGAAGAGTATTTTTGTAATGGGTAGGATGGCGACGATTATTTGATGGCGGTATCAGTTGACGAGTTTTTAAGCATTTGGAACCTGTCGAAAGCAAAGTGTATTCGAGCGGAAAGTTTGCCTGTCAGTGGTAAGCTTAATTGTTCGTGATAATGCGAATAGCAAAATACTGCAAGTTGTGCGTTCAACCGAACTTGAATCGCATTTTGCTGGCTAGTGTAACAGGATCTATTTATTGTTTTAACTATAATGGTACTCGCATATTCAAAGTGTTGACCTAGATTTATCTTTTGCGTATTGCATTACTGGGCGATACAATAAACAAATCGAATCGTTAATCATCGATTCATCGAACCCAAATTTACTTTATTCGTTAAACAATCGAGGAATAGTCACAAGCTGGGACTTATCCAAGCAACAAGTAATCTCCAATATCACAATCCCTGCTTCCAAGATCATAGGCGTGGAGTCGGGAGATTTTCCCTCCTCTAATTCCATCCAATGGCTGGAAAAAGATTGCTATCTCATTCTTTATCGAGGGATTGTTTTCCAATGGAACGCTCTGACGTTGGACATCAACTTTTGTTCGGGTCTCAGCAATTTTAAAACGAACTCAGATTTGCTGTGGATTGATCGGGTCTGTGTGTCTTCGTCTTTGGTTTTTGCAGTTTATAAGTACGTTTTGCCTCGATGGATTTAGAATAGAACATTTTTGTCTGATATGCTACTCGCTTTTTCGAAGGATCAATGCTACGAGGAGGTCAGCGAGATTAATCCTTGCTTCCATGTCCATCTGCTCTCCTCCTGCCCCACCGATTACAAGATCGTGGGGATCGTGAACTCGGGCGATTACCTCTCTGTTCTGGGAAGGACTTCGAACGGGTCGTATGTTCTCAGCGTGGTCGCGCCCCATTCGCCCGTTCACAGTTCGACCCAGCACGAAAAGCCTTCCGATTCTCGGTCTTCGCTTCATTCACGCGGCGCGCATTCGTTCTGGGGAGTGTCGCGAGGGAGCGACTTCATGAACGCGGAGCAGTTTGAGAATGGCTGGGACAACAACTCGCTGCAGGATCAGTTGCATCGCGTTTTGAATGCTGACGAAGACGCGGGGTCCGAAGATCTGATTTTCTGCGATTGTGGGAGCTGCACGCACGTGAGCGAGGACGAGACGGTGCTTTCCGGAGACTATTCGCAGTGCTTGTCGCAGAGCGCCGTGCCCACATTGCAAAATTCTCCACAGGGAACGCCCACGGAATCGCTGCAGGCCGCATATTTGAAGCTGACTCAACGAATCGCGCAAGGAACTTCACAAGGAACTTCGCAAGGAATTTCTCAAGGAGTTTCTCAAGGAACTTCGCAAGGAACTTCGCAAGGAACTTCGCAAGGAACTTCGCAAGGAACTTCGCAAGGTTCCATACAATATTCAGTACAAAGTCCTTCGCAGGGAAGTTCCCAATGCCGATTCAATTGTCGCTATTCGTTGTTTTCATCTGTAAACTGCGCGTTCCACGTGACCGACAACAACATCCATGTGCACCCACTCCCACCTTCTCCCACTTCCCCGCCTCTCTTCTTGATTTGCAGCGATGACGGCGCGGTATCGATGTGGAGATTGGACTGGCTGATGCAGCTCTGGTCGCTCAATGTCTGCAACGAAGTGGTTTCCGTGGCCATTTCGAAGTTCTGCGTCCAACTCGATCACCTAACAAAAGACCTGCGAAGCGATAGTGATGGCGGGGATGGCTCTTTAGTGTCGCACACTTGCTCGCAATCGCTTCCTTCTCATGTGTCCTATTCGGGATCGATTCCTTTCTCTGACAGCACGTTCGGTCACTCGCCGCACAACACTTTAGAACCGTTTTTGATCCCCACGATCGTTCCTTCCGTGTCCACCGCTCATTTCTCCGAAGGAACAAACTATCACACTCCCCTCGATTCGTATCTCATCGCATTAGGAACCGCTCGAGGGCGACTTCTCATTCTGGATTCCGTCGAAGGGCGTATTCTATTTGATGCGAATGTCATGGATGCACCATTGGAGTTTTTGATGATGAGCACTATTTATGGAGATCTGAAAGACCACAACGAAGGCTTCGTTCTGACATGCGGAAGCGATTCGGGAGTTTGCTATTCGCTCTTTCTTGGGTTCTGCTATGCGCAAGATGAGCTCGTTGAAGAAGGAATGATCATACCTTCCGAGAAGGATTCGAAGTCCTTGCTCACCCCGGACGATCTTTCAGGCCTTCCTACGCCCACTCGATTCGAGCAGGTGTCCACGCTCTCCTCGTCTCCGAATCTCAGTCCAGTGCTGATGTATTCGAAGGTTTCGAAGTGTTTCGGAGCTATTGTCGGTCTGCGCGAATTCTGTGATGGCATATTCGAATTCAAAGAACAAATCACCTCGATGTGGTATCGAGAAGACGAGTTATTGAGCCGTCTTCGAATTTGCATTCAAGGAAAGCAGAACGAGATCTACATGTTTAGTATGGCGGGTGAAGAAGATGTTGTGGGAGCCACCAAACTCCGAGTGCAAGAAAACGAGTCTCAGAACGTTGTGTTATCCACACAAATCGAATCGAAACAGCAGGAATACAATGTAGATTCTCACTTCTTTCGATTTGAAATAGACTCACTATCCGATTCTCTGTGTCAGCGCTCCTTCCATGCCGCCCATCTACGTCATCCAGCTTCCTTTCTACACGATTCTTCAGCAGCTGGCGGAGATAGCGGAGTTCCTCGCGGATAAAGGATTGGTCGATGGATGGGATGAACTCCCTGTGAGTGTTTTGGGCACCACAACGACATGGAATGAATTGCTACGCGTGCGTTTTCATTGTAATTGTGACTCGTAGTACATGAACATTTTGATGCCTTGGAACCAGGATTCTTCTCTCAATAAGCAGCTTGTGAAGCTCTTTTCGTTCTCGCCGTATTGCGTCACGCTGGATCATCCGAGCTTCCGATTCGCGTTCTGCTCTCCAGGGACTGAATCGATCCTGATTGGCGGCGAGCTTCGGAACAATAGCGACGGCCCTTTGTTTTTGAAATTGTTTAAACAGAGCGAGAAAATCACGACGTTGGTTCTATTACAATATCCTTTTTATTATTCATTTATGAAATGATGAGTCCTTCACGTCACTATCTTTACATTCACCCACATTCTTTCCATTCTGCTCAAACTGAACTCCATCAGCGATGCATTACGATCCTACTTAACGCAGCTTGTCATCGCCATTTTCTCCTCGTCCCATCCCTCCGCCAACTCAACTTCGTCTCCTTCTACTCGTCTCCTCACTTCGTTCTTCTCTTCCCAGCGATTGAACCTCCTTTCACCGCGATCGATTCCTGTCGCTAAATTCGAGTATAAAGGCATCGATATGAATACGCTGGCGCGCTTTTTCTATTTCCAGCAATCGAAATACTATCGAAAAGCCAGCGAATCGATCCTTAGTACCTCCTTCTTTTTTTTGGAATCACTGCGTAGATATCATTTTATCCGAATACACCCGAAATGGCTGGTCGATCGTTCCGTTAATCACGCAGCTCATCCAGGAAACAAAGGAAGTGGCTCAGCCACATACGGATGAATACTATTCGCTGCTGATGTGCATAATGATGATGTTGCGAGATGATATCACGCTGGCTACTGAAGATGAAGCGTATTTGCTAGACACGATCCGAGACACGATGAACGATCCAGGTACATTGAATGAGATCCTCGTTCTCTAGATTGTCCTGTGTATTTGTTGGAGAAACTTCTCATAGGCTACTTGATTTTCCGACACGACCAAGACGACCAGATTATCACCTCGATTATCGATACGATCTATTTGCGTTCTGTTCCCGGATCCGAATTACTGACTCGACTATTATCCACAGCAAGCGATACGTTTATTCGCGAACTGGTTCGCATCGTGAAGAAGTAATCCAATCCTTCGTATTGCTGATTTTCAGTCCGACCACAATGGCCAAAGGCGTTCGATCGATCCTCTTCTTACTCCACACGTCGTCTCACCTCCTCACTCCTTACTCCGACTCCATTCTCGACGCTCTCATCGTCGCCAAACGCCTCATTCTCGAGCAATCCAATCGCGACATTCGCTTCCTCGCGACGATCAATCTCAAATCGGTCATGAACAAAAGCATTCGCTACAGTAGCCATTCACGCTTCCTTTCTCTCGCAGAGGACGTTCGAAACAACGAGCGCGACCTGAACTACTTCACCATCCTCTCGTCCTTCCTGCTTCTTTCCTCGCTTCCCACTGTCTACATCGATAGCTACTACGCCTTCGCGGTGTCTCCGACCGGCGTTCTGCACGTCTACTCGATGACGACCGCGTGTCTTGTGTGTTCCACCACGATTCATTCCGGAACCACGAACAAAATCAAAGTGTTCACGCGGACAATGAAGGAGTCATTCAGCACGATCAACCGAAATCAGGACTATTTCATTCTCTTCCTCTCGCGGTCGGAACGAACCATGTTCTTCTATCTCTTCAACGATCGGCACATTCCCTACAAATCCCTGCTTCGCCAGCTGCGATCCAAGCACTTCACTTTCCGCGATTATTCTTCGGTTTCGCTGGTCAAAATCGCGATTCTGTTCATTCCTTGCAACTCATCGATTCAGCCAGAAACCTGCTCGATGTGTCGCCGCATGCGCCATCGTGGCCACATGAGCGATTTCTTCATTTTCCAGGGTCGAAACAATCCGTCGATGGAGGTGAGCAATCTTCCCTCCCACATCGACAACTCAGAATTGTCGATTATTCCCGGAAACAACCTGGACGATATCGATTTTGCCTCGCTGCCGCTAGGCACGCTTCTCTACGAAAAGCCTCGCAAAAAGTCGATCGAGGAGGAGCAGCCGCTGCTTCACCAGCTCGACGAGAAGTGCTGGGTGTGTCGAAACCCGATCGAACAAACCCGACCACGCCGCCACTCCACGCAGTGCTGCTGCATGCGGATCGAGCACCTCGTCATCACACCGCAGTCCCTCATGCCGACGTCCTTCTCGCAGGACTACATGATGGCGCAGCACCTTCCTCCCTCCCAGCTGTACATCTGTGAGGAGTGCGAAACTCTCATTCTCTGCGGAAACCAATCTTTATCGTCGAGCAAACTGAACGGATTGGCCTCCGAACCCGATCCCTGGAATCTCAATCTGGGTACTTCGCAGAATCGACTGAGCTCGTTCCGAACTGGAAATGTCTCGCTCTCAGCAATGCTGGCGCATGTGGGCCATGCTGTGAACGACTTCTCGCTGGACCAGGACTTCCAGCTTCGCATTGAGCCATGGGGGAACTCTCCTGAGAAGAGGCCGGAAGCGTTCCGCGTGTTTCTTCAGCTAACCGACCTGGTAATCGTCTGGTATGATGTTTTGGTGAAAGATATTTATGTTTGGATTGTTTGTGATTAAAAAACATACGACTACGTCTCGTCCACAGGTACGGAAGAATACTTCTGCTTCGGTTTCCACCAACGCTCTTTTCGTTGCTGGTTCGATTTGAGATAGCTATCGCGAGACTGAAACTTATCTCCCATCCACATTTGCTTCGCTGAGTCGGAGTTCCGTATCCGATCCAGACTCGATATAAACGGGTCGACCACTGGCAGGCTAGGTACTTGATAACTACAGTGAGAAAAATTCAGGAATTCTACCGCTTATTGCTACTTCCCTTGCGACAAAAATAATATATAATTCCTAGCATCGCTGCTAGACTGATTACAATGATCCACAACTTGAGTGAAGAATTTAAAGACTCGCAACGGTCTCCTTCAAAAAGAGACGTACAGTTACAAATGTCCATTTCTTCCCAACAAACACCATTGTGCGAACAGCCCGGGGCGCATGGAACTAGATATTGAGCTCAATTCAACGAAAATACCTTCATCTTCACTCACTTCGAATAAGTCAAAGCCAATCTCCTTTTGCCCTTGGACAGTAGTAGAAGAAACTATGAAAACTAGTAGTCCGACAGACAAAATAGAAGAAAACATAAAACAACTTAAGATACAAAAAAAGTGTACTTTGAGAAGGTTTGCTTCTAAAAATGAATGAGGAAACCCCCGTAATGGACTATAGTCATCAGTAAACGTGCAATTATCGCTACTGTTAGCTTAGAAAGAAACATGTCACTTGGGACGAAAAGACGATTGCAGAGCACGATAAGGAGCGTGGAACACACATGGTAATCAACGAACCAAAGACTCCCTACAATCGATTAGGAATTCCTGAGAGTAAACGCCTCATCGGGTTTACTACTATGTGTAGATGAGGAAGATGAAGAGAAGGAGGAAGCCAAGCTGCTCATTGAGCGACTTCAGGAGTTAGAGCGAGTTCAAGCGCAGCAGAGGGCTTTTGAGTCCGAACAACAGAGTAAGAAAGTTCACATAGGGTTTGTGCCCCCTCCGGAGTGATTGTTGCGTTTTTTTGCCTGATTCGAAGGAAAGCGGAAGGGAAGGACGACTACCAGCAGAAACATGCCGACTTTTTGAAAAAGCGGAAGGTAGTGCCCTTTCTTTGTAGTGAGTGGTAGCTGCATTATAACGAGTACCAAGAAGTGATGCGATTGCGAAAGCAGCAGGTAGGTGGTCAATGTGCGAGTTTCCATTAGGAGGAGGAGGAGGATGAAGAGGAGGAGGACGAAGTCTAGAGCGTCCTGTGATACTGGTAATTGTAAAATCTATTGAATTTGTTTATATTTGAATCAGGCGTACCACAATCCTTGATAATCATAATACAATTGATGCTGCTTTTTACCAAGGACCGCAAATATTAAATCGCAAGACCATATTGCAGCTTTTGAGCTCCATTGTCAGGACATCTGGACTAAGTACAACTCAGTTTGCTAGTTACTATCGATTTTTGTAAGATTTTATGGAATTGGTAATTGGATGTCGCTACAAGTTTGGCAAGAAGATTGGGGAGGGCACATTCGGGGAGATTTTTATCGGTACGGATATACATTCGGGTACTTTTTCAATTGGGTTTTAATCTCTGTAGGAGAAGAAGTTGCGATTAAAGTGGAGCACGCGACGAGGAGGAATCCTCAGCTACCTTATGAATATAAAATCTATACTCTTCTCCGCGGGGGTATCGGAATTCCAAATGCATATTTCTATACCCAAGAGAGATGCTATAATATTCTGGTAATGGATCTTTTGGGGCCCAGTCTGGAGGATCTGTTCAACTACTGTAATCGTAGGTTTTCTCTGAAAACGGTGTGCATGCTCGCTCAAGAGATGATCAAGCGCGTTGAATATATACATAGCAAGAACTTCATTCATCGTGACATTAAACCAGATAATTTTGTTGTGGGCCTGAAAAGGAACGCCAACATCGTTTTTTTATTGGACTATGGCTTGAGCAAACGATACTGTAATCCTGTTACGAAAGCTCATATTCCGTAAGTGGCACGGGATCCCATTGATCTAAAGATACCGGGAGAACAAGAACCTGACGGGGACTCCTCGGTATGCCTCAATAGCCAATCACCTAGGAATCGAGCAGAGCCGTCGAGATGATCTGGAGTCTTTGGGATATGTGTTCATGTACTTTCTGCGAGGAAAACTTCCCTGGCAAGGACTTCAGGCGGCAAACAAGCGCGAGAAATACACCAAGATTCTTCAGCGTAAGATGGAAGTAGGCGACCGGAGCGCGATGCGATGCAGGTTTCATTCGAATACCTCTGCAAAGACTATCCCGAAGAGTTTCTCATGTACTTCGACTACTGTCGTGCTCTTCGCTTCGACGACTGCCCCAACTACGCCTATCTCTACTCTCTTTTTCGCAATGTCATGGTCCGCAATGTTCGTTTTGATTGGCCCCGATTCTGGGTAGAAAATGGAGGACGATGGAGTGTACGACTGGATGGTCAACACCGACAAGCACGCCGCGATGGTTCTCCCTTCTCATTGCCTCGGACCCGACGGGAAGATCCGCCCAGACTTACTCACCGCGGCGCTGCCGAGCTATCGCCACTCGCTGACTGTGGAGGACGCGCAGCAGTACAGCGAGGAGCGGGAGTTGGAGGCGAGCCGTTTTTTTGGAGAGTCGATGGATCCGAAATTGAGGCAGTACGATCGATGGGCAGTGTTGACTCTAGGCGATGTGCTCCGCACGAGCATGAATCATTTGAACAAGTCACACCGGATGATCTATTCACTGAAGGTGCCGACTACAAAAGTATTGAGCCCAATCGAGGAAGCTCTATTTTTCCTAGCCTTTCTGGGCTGACCCTGGCTACCGGCCGGTTGTGGATGTAGCTCGGCTGTCCG